ATTATTTTTCTTTTACGTACACTTGTGCGGTATCACCTTTACTGCGGATTCAGTTTGCACTACGGCCCGACGCCTGATTGATTTCGTCTACCTAAGATCAAATAACAACGTGGGTAGGTTAGGCTAGAGATCAAAGCAGTTACTTCGGTAACCAGACGTTGGAGGCGAGCTGGGAACGACAAGGCTGATATCGAATCTAACCAGACATCGACCGCGACTAAGACAACCAGAGGGGTTAGTGTCACACATGGTTCCGTGATAAACCAGAGTTCCCCCCGAACCAGCCAACGGTTAGATCGTCACAAATGGTGCTGCAACCAGCCCAGAATTAGAGTGTCACACGTTTCTTTACATACAGTAACCCATGGCCGGCATAATGAGTAACAGTAGTATTACACCCAAAGCGTGTGTACAATTTTAAAAATATAAAAACCTACAATCTAAAAATTGATATTGTTTATTCTTAAAAAAAAAAAAAAAAAAAAAAAAATCAATCTTATATAACCAATAGTCTAAGAATATTTTTATATCCGTTTTTATGAAACTTAAAATGATTTTGTTTTATACAATAGAAATATAAAACAAATTAAACACTAGTTAAAAATGATACTTTTCAGTACTTCGTTGCATTTTTATTTTCTTACCTGTTTGAAGTCACAAAATTAATTGCCCCAAATGCAGTTTTTTTTTTTCATTCATTCTGATTTTAATATTTATAAGGCGTTACTGGGAATTAAAAAAATTTAGAAGGAAACGGAAACCCAATCTTCAGCAGAAAACAAGAGAGACCTCTCCCCCTCCCCTGTTCAAAAGACAGGCGAGTAGTATGAAGTGATCGAGTGCAAGAAAGAACACAAAAAGTGAGAACTTGATAAAGACTTATTGAAGTGTTGTTAATTGACTGCAGTCAGATTTATTTCCGCCTTGAACCTCTGTACAAATGTGAAACAGTAAAAAGGGAAATAAAAGTATAAAACTGGACAATGGAATATATATATATATATATATATATATATATATATATATATGAGAGAGAGACAGACAGACAGAGAGACAGACAGACAGAGAGAGAAGCTCTTGTTACGACGTGGAAAGAGAAATGCGAAAATCCTATTGAAGATTTAAATATTTTTTGGTAAAGTTCGAAATATTGTACATTTTTTTTTTATTTTACTGAAATAGCATTTTTAAGGATTTCTTTCTATGAAACTGCCCCTCATTGCACAATATTTCCACAATAAAATTCATTATTTTATGTAAAAATATTTAAAATTTCGTTTAAACCGGATAAATCCCGGATTTGTAACAATTTATCGAAAACTTGATTGGGTTTTTTGCTTTCATTTCGTAAGAAAAAAAGAAAAATTCAGCGAAATCGTTTGATAGGTGACATTTTTTTTTTTTTTTTTAAGGACAATAAAAACTTGTACGTAATCTCCTTTCTTTCTTTTAATCAAGAATGAGGTAAGCGCCGGCCGCTTCTTGGCTCAGAGAAAACCTTATTCTTACAACTGAACTTCTTCACGCAAATTTCCTAATAGCTAAGTTTTAAATGTTTTTATTTTCCAATTGTAAACACAGAATAATATTTTCTTTGTTAATCATTTATAAGTTACATGAAAATATCTCAATGTTAAAATGTATTCCTTTCTCCTTTGCCTCTTCAACACTAACCCTTAACTCCAACCCTAAACCTGTCATTCACATGGGAAAATTAAAATTTTGATTGCGTCTGATTTTAGTTGAGGTAGAAGTAGAGGCCGTAACGTAAGGATGTCTAAGAAGAAAACATTTAAATTGCGTTTTTTTCTCGCCGACTGAAAAAAAAAAAAAAAAAAAAAAAATAATAATAATAATAATAATAATATATATATATGGACTTTTCTTTCATGAAGAGCCCACCATTCAAACGAGAGTCTAGTCTTAAGTACGACTACCTCAGGAAGTCATGAAATAAACAAATCAAGTCACACTGCCCATTGGAACTGCAAATTTAAGTTTTTCATGTGTTGGGTCTGTAAAAATTGATTTTATGTGAACGTATATTTTCATAGTAAACAGAATTTATTTTTCTCAGAAATTGAAGTTTAACTATCATATAATCATTACAGTCAGTTTACAGAAAAGAAAACATCGATTTCGAGGAATCAGAATTTGGTCTCGATTTTAAGAGTCTTGATCTCTAAGCTCTTTCCTGTTGAGAAACAGAGTCGGTTGACTTAGATTTTTGTATTAAAGTTTGCATTTGAATTAAAAGGATTTTTTTAGGGGGAGAGAAGAGAAAAACGTCATGTTTCTTAACCTAAATATTGAGAAAGACGGAAACGAACCTCCTACGCCAATGTGAAATTGAAAAGAAACATTTAGTAAAATGGTGCAAAACAGAATACAAATTTACAATACAATTTTTCACAAAACTTTCCTTTATGCGCTTTACAATTAGACAAGTTATAAAATTACAATATGTTAGGCTCATAAAAAAATAAAAACAATTCTAGTTTTACACTATTTACATTATTCGGACTATTGTCCTCATCTTTGTCGCCATATTTATTACAACGTTTCGGCCGTTGTACGCTCCGGCCTTCTTCAAGTGGTTGGAATATCAAACTGAACCCTTTATTTCGCTCACTGGGGTAGACTGTTCTAGTTCCACATGCCATGTCTAATGGACTCTCCGATCAGAAAGCGACGGTTCGATATACCGCATGACCCTAGACACCCACCCACAAAAAAGACGAAGAAAACGACCCGAATGAATAATCTAAAGAATTTCTTAAGAGACGAGTATTGCCCCTGTTAAAAATACCCGACGAGAACTTTAGAGACGCGACGAGTGCAGGTTAACAAATGGCTCCCATTTTTCTCCTTAAAGAATAGGTGACTTAATACATCAAAATATTTAAGTTATCTCCGACCGAGACGTCGTCTTATTCTTAAGAGACAGAAGTTAGTCACTAAAAACAATCATTGCGTAAGATATCAAAGATAGTGATTGGCTACAAAATAATTAGCTTGTTTGTTCTTTTTCGAAGATGGACACCGTAAAAAGAATGTCATTTTCAGTGTAACGTTTAAGAAATGTTTCAACTCCTTTATCACGCATTAAGGTTAAAAACAAGACTGAAAAATTTAGAAACAATATTTCGATTTTTAAAAATAAAATTTCAAAACCTGCGTAGAGAAAATTGGGGATTATTTAGTAAGCGTTTAAAAATCAAATTATACCTTGCGCCCAGGGTCAAAATGAAAAGCAATAAATGCAAAAAGGTACAGGACATCATTAAAGGACATTTCGACCCCTCCTCTCGATAACAACTAGGTATATATTTACTGCTGCCGATTTAGTAACAGTACTTAAAATATCTACCTATTTAGGTTGTAGATTTAAACTAATTAATGAGAAATTCAGGAAATTATTTGTTATTTGAAGCTTTAAACTTTACATTTCGCAGATACTGTAATAGACTGAAATAAAATTCCACTGGTTCAGACCTTTGCAGCAAGAACCAGTGACATCACGTAGTCAAGGTCGAATCATCCCCCCCCCCACTTCGTATTCCATTGGTAAGGGAGTTGCACTCAGGTAAATTGTGGAAAGATTCCTGAGAGAAGGGGGTGGGTACGTGCCCATTTGGTGTGGCTGATTCGGCACAACTGTTTAGGCGTCAGACTTTCGACGTCACTGTATTTGACCGGTGGCTTCCCCCCAAACAAAAACAAAAAAACTTAGTAAAGCTATTTATCCATCGTGTATCACCGTTTCTTCTACGTTTTGATAAAATATTTGCTTCCATTTTGGAATAAAACGGCTTTGATGACTGGGAAAAAAAAAAAATAAATAAATATTAAGCTGAACTGAAATAATATTAAAATACCTTCAACTACTAATTTTCTTAAATATGAAAATGACTCCATCTACACTTTTTCTTAAACTGAACTATACGAGCAAATTTAAAGTACTAATTTGACTGCTAAACGAGAGAGATATACAGAGAGAAACAATTTGACTATTACGATGAAGTAGTAATAATCTGACGCCTATTCGTCCCTCTGCCGGAAAATTCCTTTAATTCAGGATTCCTCTTGCTCGTTGCGTCAGAAATAAAAACGGTGTATCAAATTGTTTCTCCCACGTTTTGATAAAATATTTGCTTCCATTTGCAATAAAATGGCTTTGACGACAGAAAAAAAAAAAAAAAAAAAAAAAAAAATTTAAAAAATTAAGGTGTACTGAAGAAAATATAAATATACCTCCAAATACGTTTTTTCTTAAATTTAAAAAATGCCTCTAGCTACTTTTTCTTAAACTGTACTATAACGACGAAGTACTAATTTCACTATTGAGTTAAATATAAATATATATCGATCGATAGAGATCGAATTAGTAATCTGACGCCTAATCGTCCCTCTGCCGAAAAATTCCCATGCCGAATCGGCCACGCCTAATGGGCTACACCGGAACGTCCAATTCCAGAGTATGCTTCCCGAATAAGTAGAATTTTAACCTCTTCAAATCAAGGGCCAACTTATCATTCAGTAACACTACTCCATGAGGAACTAGAGCCTTGTATTGAGTAAATATTAAGTTTTCATGATTTAGACCCCTAGAAAAATTAATTAAATGACCTGAACTATTGTTTATCTTTTTTGATCATCTTTACACCAAGTGAGGCAATAAAGCAACTAGGAGGCAAAGAGTTACAGGAAGTGAAAAAGGAATAGCGAGGAGGAGAAAGAACAATAAAAGAACAGGCTTCACGAAAACAGATGGTGACTGGCGTTACATTTTAATTTTTTGAAGATTGTAGGTAGCAGGAAAGCAATTTATTATTAATGAATAAAAATATGAAATAATAATGAATATCATAAATAAAATTAAAAAAAAAACATTAAAACATTGTTTAGAATAAATTAAACAAAAAATAAATAAAATAAAAAGTTCACCAGGCCTGCAACAAAGATTGCTGGTATTGAAATCTATTTCTACACTTTCGTAGTGTTACGGAGCCCACCGTCTTTGCCGGGACGCGGACGGAGCCCACCGTCTTTGCCGGGACGCGGACGGAGCCCACCGTCTTTGCCGGGACGCGGACGGAGCCCACCGTCTTTGCCGGGACGCGGACGGAGCCCACCGTCTTTGCCGGGACGCGGACGGAGCCCACCGTCTTTGCCGGGACGCGGACGGAGCCCACCGTCTTTGCCGGGACGCGGACGGAGCCCACCGTCTTTGCCGGGACGCGGACGGAGCCCACCGTCTTTGCCGGGACGCGGACGGAGCCCACCGTCTTTGCCGGGACGCGGACGGAGCCCACCGTCTTTGCCGGGACGCGGACGGAGCCCACCGTCTTTGCCGGGACGCGGACGGAGCCCACCGTCTTTGCCGGGACGCGGACGGAGCCCACCGTCTTTGCCGGGACGCGGACGGACGCCCCCACCGTCTTTGCCGGGACGCGGACGGAGCCCACCGTCTTTGCCGGGACGCGGACGGAGCCCACCGTCTTTGCCGGGACGCGGACGGAGCCCACCGTCTTTGCCGGGACGCGGACGGAGCCCACCGTCTTTGCCGGGACGCGGACGGGACCGTCTTTGCCGGGACGCGGACGGAGCCCACCGTCTTTGCCGGGACGCGGACGGAGCCCACCGTCTTTGCCGGGACGCGGACGGAGCCCACCGTCTTTGCCGGGACGCGGACGGAGCCCACCGTCTTTGCCGGGACGCGGACGGAGCCCACCGTCTTTGCCGGGACGCGGACGGAGCCCACCGTCTTTGCCGGGACGCGGACGGAGCCCACCGTCTTTGCCGGGACGCGGACGGAGCCCACCGTCTTTGCCGGGACGCGGACGGAGCCCACCGTCTTTGCCGGGACGCGGACGGAGCCCACCGTCTTTGCCGGGACGCGGACGGAGCCCACCGTCTTTGCCGGGACGCGGACGGAGCCCACCGTCTTTGCCGGGACGCGGACGGAGCCCACCGTCTTTGCCGGGACGCGGACGGAGCCCACCGTCTTTGCCGGGACGCGGACGGAGCCCACCGTCTTTGCCGGGACGCGGACGGAGCCCACCGTCTTTGCCGGGACGCGGACGGAGCCCACCGTCTTTGCCGGGACGCGGACGGAGCCCACCGTCTTTGCCGGGACGCGGACGGAGCCCACCGTCTTTGCCGGGACGCGGACGGAGCCCACCGTCTTTGCCGGGACGCGGACGGAGCCCACCGTCTTTGCCGGGACGCGGACGGAGCCCACCGTCTTTGCCGGGACGCGGACGGAGCCCACCGTCTTTGCCGGGACGCGGACGGAGCCACCGTCTTTGCCGGGACGCGGACGGAGCCCACCGTCTTTGCCGGGACGCGGACGGAGCCCACCGTCTTTGCCGGGACGCGGACGGAGCCCACCGTCTTTGCCGGGACGCGGACGGAGCCCACCGTCTTTGCCGGGACGCGGACGGAGCCCACCGTCTTTGCCGGGACGCGGACGGAGCCCACCGTCTTTGCCGGGACGCGGACGGAGCCCCACCGTCTTTGCCGGGACGCGGACGGAGCCCACCGTCTTTGCCGGGACGCGGACGGAGCCCACCGTCTTTGCCGGGACGCGGACGGAGCCCACCGTCTTTGCCGGGACGCATTAGCGTTTGTTTTGGTGTCGATTTCTGTTGTTTGTTCGAGATTGATGCCTTTCATCATTCAGTTGCAAGCCAGACTGTTGAATGTTGAGATTTTGTACAGAAATAACTGTCTTAAGATAGAGGATGAAAAGTTGCACTCTCACCATATTAAGCACTATGAGTTTCGGAAATGAGTAGCGTCGGAAATATAAAAGAAGTTTATTTGGATCATGTACCACGTCTTCAGACAGGTCAAAAAGCGGTTTCACAGATTTCGTCGATGAATTTAACTGAAACAGCCAACCACGCGCCGGGCGACTTTCCGTCCTCGAGGAAGACGCTCTGTTGACCAATGCGGAGAAATGAACGAAGATTTCGTCGGAAGAGATTGCCAAGAGTTGTAAAAATGGATATCTCGATTGCCTTTCCGCCATTTGAAGAGACTTTGTTTAAAGAAAAAACAGAATTTGGCAAATCCAGGTGGTGTCATTTTCCACCACAACAACGTCAGCCCGTATATTGTAAAACGGACCTCGCAGATTTGAAATGAGAAACCCTCCAGCATCCACTGTAGTCTCCTGCTTCGGTTTTTCCTTTGTTCCTCTGTTTACAGAAAGATTAAATGACAAAACATTTGACCGTACAGTCAGTCAAAAAAATACATCACAACCTTCTTCCAAAGTAAAAAAAGGGATACTGTACATAAATGGTCTTTTTTTTTGTATGTAAAATTGTGTTTTTATTTTCTAATCAGGCACAAACTATTGCATAAATGTAATATTTTTTTCTTATGAAGCCAGATCATCTGTGAATCGTGTCAAGGTAAAGATTTAAAAAAATCTTATCGATTTTACCAATTTATGCATAAATCTATAATTTGTTTGATTTGACACGTGTATGAGGACTTTAGCCAATAATAATCGTCCCCATTTTAGTAGCCTTCTGCCAAACAAATTACAACAGTTAAACAGTTTCAAAAGAATAGTCTGAGAAACATACTTCAAAAACAGTTTGATTTAATTGAAAAATAAAATTTATTACGAAAAGGTTTTATACAAGATACTACTAATTATACTACTACTACTAATTATACTACTACTAATTATAATACTGCTGATCGTTATATTCTATTTAACCCCTATCACAGGCAGGTTATTTCGGGGTTGTTCAAGACAGGAGGGTGCTTCTTGTTCAACTTCAAAATAATGCCTTTGTTCGGAATTGCAGGGTTTTTCTTTTTTATCTTAAAATCTTAGTTTGGCTAAGAAACTTTGTATTGAAATTTTATTTATAAGATTAAGGTTGGTAAACAAGTAAATAATAATTTTTCGGCTTTATTTTATTTTTTTCCAATTATACTGACATCAGCATAACTAACATATTTGTTGAATGAGGCTTTATCAAATATTGCTGGTACGATTTTATTTCAAATATTCGTTTTTTTTTGTTTTTTTTTGTTTTTTTTGCACGACAGTCTATTTTTAGTAACATATTAGGATTTTCAAATCAACCTGGAATAGGTTGAAATGTTCGCTTAATCTGACCAATTATTTTATATTAATTCACAACGTGTTGAAACTGTAGAACTAAAAAGACATATATATAAAAAGTGAATCAGAAGTTTTGACTGAGTGACCTAACCCCATGACATCCGATAATCCAACCGAACTCTCAAACCATTAGAAGTCGAATTAGGATTTAATCATATCCAAATCCTCTAACTTCACTTTATATATAAAAAATAATAATGTTGTCAGGTTCCTTTTCAAATTTGCCTGGATTGAGCCCCTCCCTTTTAACGAAGATAATTAGTACAAAAAGAATGACAAGTATTGTTAAAGAAATTGCTTAAGGGTGATGACCTCATGAGTGTCAAATCATTGAAGATCTTACCTTGAAAAATCACACGGTATCAGATAAGAAATTTCACTTTGGCAAACAGTCGGTTAATGGTTCAATGATGAACAAAGAAAAAGCGATATTTATTCTTTTAATGATAAAAAATATGGCACAAGAAATAAAAAAGGGGGAGTTTTGAAAAGACTGGTCTTCAGCTTTCCCACTTAGCTAACCACAATCACTGACCCAAACTTACTAGAATTTCCTTACACCTCTACGAAGTCCTAACTAGTCCCTATATGTTCAGTTTGTCTGTGGGGGTGGGGAACAAATACAACTTTTAATATGAATCATGTGACGTCACAAAAATAAACTTATTTACTTACCAATAATTTTTTTTTATAAAGTTTGAAGTGTAGGAACATAATTTCATTTAAATATTAAATCAACTCTTGTTACCCTTCAAAACGAAATCTTGAATTACGGGAATTTATTTTTGCTATTGAGGTTAATATGGCGTTAATATTACATTAATATCGTAATTGCCTCGTTTTATTCTGTTTTAACAAAATAATGAAGTGAATTGTAAATTTTAACATAAAAATATTAAAATAAATTTCAATTTTATATTTGCAATAGTATCAATAACAATACTATTGTTTAGATATCAGTAATGGTCAATTGTAGAAATATAACAATTTATATTATATATCAAATGGTGAAATGATGTCAGCGAGATATTACGCTTACTTTTAATAATAAAGTTGATGTTTCACTATGAATGACTGAAATTTTTAAGAATGCAAATCCAAATTCGAGACCGACACGGGCCATCGAGACCGACACGGGAAGACAAAAATTAAAACCAACATCAAAATTAACGCCTATATTATAAACCAAAACCCTATTTTTTTGGTTTAGATCAGTCATATCTTACCCTAATTAGCCCATATCGACCTTCGGAGACGATCTCCACTTGAAATAGCTCATGTATACTCCCCTCCTATGAAATGAAATAATTACCTTTTACAAATGTTCTGTCCCATCACGTATCTTTACAAAAGAAAGATCATCGTCGGTATAACACGATTGCTGAATAAACACTTGACAAACCACATAACTATGTTATCTGCCCTGCATGTTCTTACAATAGACAGGGCGGCAAAAGGTTAGGTTTTAAAGTAATGTATTTTTGTTTCATGCACGTTAAGCGGGTTTAAAAATTTGGGTGTGCCTTGTGCCAAATCTAAGCTCTGCTTAGAAAATCACCATGTGGGTTTAAAAATTTGCTACCTGTCACCTGAGACTTTAATGTTCACTTTTAGATTTATATATCAGTTTTCTTGTTTTCTACTTTTCGTGACTTCAAGTTTTATGTAACTGCAATTTTTGTCGCTTAAAGATTTGAAGTCGAACAAAGAAGAAAACTAAGAAATTCCGTATATGAAGAAGACTTATTTATATTGAACACTTTCATTATATATAAGTAGATGACGCCGGTTTATCGGCAAAACCTATCAACAACAGTCTAAAAATATGAAAGGGGTGTCAAAGAAGATTCAGTCTATATAGCAAGGCTGTTATTCTAAGAGAACTGACGGTTATAATCTTAACAGCACAAGATAGATGACGTAGTGTTCATAGCAAACACAGAAAGAAAACAAGAAATCCTAGAGAAGATAGCGAAGGAAAGCAAGAAGGACTAAACACCAATTGTAAGAAGATAGAATGCATGGTTGTCAGCAAATGGAACAGACCAGCATGCAAATTACAAATTGGAAAATCAAAACAAGTACAACAATTTAAGTATCTGGGAAGTGTCTTGACAGAGGACGGAAAGTATGAAATTGAAAAAAAAATATATGTGTGTGTGTATATATATATATATATATATATATATAAAAAAAAAACAAAAAACAAAAAAAAAATCCGCCTATACAGCAAAGCTATTATACTGAGAGAACGAGAAGTCCTACCAGAATTCATTACTGGCGTCTACAATTTTAATAGCATAAGATATGCAGATGACAGCGTTGATAACAGACGCGGAAAGAAAAAAAAACTCCAACAGAAAGTAATTAAAGAAATCAAGAAGAAAGGATTAAGTATTATCTGCAAGAAGAGAGAATACATGGTTGTTAGTAAAAGGAGGAGGAGGCAAAAGTGCGAATTGAAAAATCGGACGTAGCAAAATGAAACAAAGGCAGGCATTTAAATACCTGGGAAGTGTTTTAACAGAAGACAGAAAGATCGACACTGATCCGAACGTGTGTTGGGATAGCCAAGAAACATCCTAAAAGCTAAGCGGAGTATTAAGAAATGGGAAAAGTTCGCTAGAAACAACGAAAACAATACTGAACTGCTATGCGATATCTGTCCTCCTGTAGGGCAGTGACTGCTGGACAATCTCAAAGAGGATGAAGAGACTTGAAGCAACAGAAATGTAGTTCTACAGAAGGATGCTGAGATGAAAACAAAAAGGAAACTTATCAGGCAGAGACAGTGGAGGTTTCTAGGGCATATGAAGGCTTGGAAAATCTAATACCCACATGACAATGAAGGCAAAAGGGAAAGAGGAAAATAACGCATTATATACTTAATGAGCTTCAGTAAATGGATGGCGGAAGAGGGCTTAGGAGAAAGACAAAGTTTATTAAAAGCTACAAGGGACGGGAAGTTGTGGAAAGCCATGATCGCTTACACCCTGAGGGTATACGGCACATAAAGAACGACAATGTATCTTTGGCATTTCGTCAGTTTCTCGCCCAACTTGAGTCATAATCCCCATAAGATCTTGTCTTGTAAAACAACTGAAAATACTATATGACGCAATTGATTGTTCATCGGGGAAAACTGTTAAACCAAAATTTGAATGTTTTCCTAAAACACGTTAACTGCACAGCGATTCCGATCAATCTCCGGTTCTTAAATGTCCACTAGCCTACCTCAAAAAGCACTAAAAATCGAACGCGAAATTTTAAAACACCCATTTTGATACTATTTCCTCAGTACCAATATTTGACATGGTAACTTTCTCCAATAAATTGTACAGAAGATAACTGCTTCAAGAATGGTTTAGATGCCAGATTACTTTTAGCAAAAACAGACTATTTAGCAAAGAAAACATTAACGAGCATTGATAAACAAATCTAAGTTGTTAACGTAAGAGAGTGGCCTCCAAAGTAATGCATACGTTCATGTTGGCCTACGACGTCAGATGAATCTTCCCGCTAAAGTCATGTTGAATTTTTTTTCCACCACGACAGCCAGTCATTTACATTTTGCTCGTCGCCGTTTTTTATCCAAGAGCAGCATCGTAACAAGCTATGGAAGACAATCGTCTAATTTAATATCCATATCTCTGCAAAAACATGGAAACCGAAAAGAATTTTACGTAAAATTCTTTCCGGTTTCCATGTTTTTGCAGAGACCTCTTCTTTATGGGTAGTAAAGCATAATAGCTCAATATCAGAGATAGAGCTAACATATTTAGTTGGATTGATGTGAGTGGCGTCACGACAATTTTCCCTCCCACTTCCATAAAAACATCAATACACGCAATCTTACCTAAATCCAAAATTTTAAAAAAATTAATCAGTGTCTGATCACAAACACACATCAATCTCTCCTCTCTCATATATATATATATATATATATATATATATACCAATCTGAAGATCAATTTCAAATTTTGGAAGTATTTGAAACTGTTTATAATCCAAATAAAGAAAAGGAGGAAGAAGAAACAAAGGTAATAAGCTGCTGATAAATAGCCGCCATCTTGAATTCTATTGGTTTCCTGTCTTCCAGCATGACTGGTAAACGAAAGTTATTTTTAATTATTTTTTTTCCTAAAATGCATTGAAGAAATGTTATCTTACGAAACACATTGAATATACAAAACGTCACACTATAAACTTCCAAAACAATAGACAAATCTACTATTACAATGCAAGATATTTAAGAATGGTGGGAATTGTAAATCAATTGTATTTGATTGTTACAAGTTTAATGACTTGTTACTAAACTAGTCAGTACTAATCAAATACAACTTTTTATTTAAATGTACCATATAAAATACCTGTATCTTCTACGAAAGCACTTAAAAGAAAGAGTTTCATATTTAAGTTGTTTAACAAATAAATTTTCAGCGATTTTTAAAAAAAATAATTTCACCACAAGCAATGCAATAAAACTACTAAGATGCAAGGAGATTACTGAATGCAAGAGAATACGAGAAAAATAATTAAGGAGAGAGAACAATAAAAAGAACAGAAATTAAGAAAAAAGATAGCGATTGACATCGTATTTAATTTTTTGAAAATCAAAGTTGACTGGAAAGCAAGAAGCCAGAAGAATGTTCCACAAATGAGAAGTGTAAAAGAAGGAACTTAACAGAACTTACACCATAGAAGTGATTATGATGACGTGCAAGATTGGTGGAAGTATATAATTGCATTATGTGCAAGATCTCATTTAATGTAATTATATATAATTATATATTCCCGGCTGCCTCTTTGGTTATGATCCAAGTTGAGATTCCCAACCTCCCCAGTTTGTTTTGGCCACCTTTTTCATCTCGACTGGGTCAGCTTTATATATTTCCCCATGTCCGTCAATATTCTCTCTTTTCCCCATTCCTTTAGCGAGAGAGCTTCTTGATTTTGTCCAAATGGGCAGAATACAGCGGCCTCTCATTTTGAGGGTTGGACGGGCCACACTAACATCAGTTAGGTTTAGTTTCTTGTGTGTTCATGTTTAGTTTGTTTTGGGGTTTCATTTCCTCCCCTCTATTCTATCCATTCTATTCATCCATAATTTTTTTTAGGTATAAATTTTATAATCATTAAGTTTTTTATAGATGGGGCGCGTTTTGTAGAACCCCCTTGAGATGATACTGTATTATGGTGTATGGAAGATTGACTGGTGATGGACGAGTTTTTATGGTGAATGTGGAAATTGTAATGAGTGAATGGGTCGTGAATCAGATTAACTAGGTACAATGTAACCCGGATATAAGAGTTGTCGGGACCGGAGAAGAAGTCTCTTATATCCGGGTTTCTCTTATATCCGGGTTTGGTCTATTTTATATACATTAACACAGGGTCTAATTTGGGACCAGAGAAAATCTCTTATATCCGGGTTACACTGTATAAGATAGTGACGACCAGCTTCAACCCCTCCCTATTTTGGCCTTGTGCCGTAATTGTATTTAATATACAATAAATATCAATATAATTATATACGTTCGATCTAACTACAAAAGGGAATCAATGATAAAGAGAAGATACGGCCGATATTAACTTTTGACTTATTTCTAATTATTCAACAGCGATTCGGAAATACAGATAAAGATTCGAACGCTCATCCTTTGTGCCCAGAGAGAAGCCATGAGAGCCGCTCAAACCGACTGAGATAGAACTTCAACGATTGGCAGGGAAAAATATCTAACCAAATCAAGTTATTCCCACCACCAACCCCGTAGATCGCGGAGCCACTATTTGATAACTTTTCTTTTTCTTCTCTCCTTTTCGTGTGTGTGTGTGTGTTAATATATATATATATATATATATATATATATATATATATATATATATATATGCCCGAGTCAAAGAAACGCAATAGTTTCACTGAAACTATTTTCGATGCAAACTTTTTTTTTTTTTTTTTTAAACTAAAGCCGCTCCAGGTAGTTATGGCGAAAAGCAATTAACATTAAAAATGAAAAAAAAAATACTATTTACATTATTCGGACTATTATCCTCATCTTCATTGTCATATTCACAACGTTTCGACCGCTGTACGCGCTGGACTTCTTCAGGTGATTGGAATTTTGAACCGAACCCTTTATTTTATCCAACGGTTTTTAGATTTTTCTAGTTCCACGTGCCATGCCCCTTCCAGTTATTTCCCTTTAACTCAACTCTCCAAGTTTTTGGTTCACTACTGCTGTAGCCTGGAATTGAACTCTCGACTCTTTGGTTCTAGTCACTGGATCTAACCAAGGTCTTTATCCACAGGGCCATGTGTTCTTGAGACATCTGTGTATGAATCACCTGAAGAAGGCCGGAGCGTACATCGGCTGAAACGTTGTGAATATGGCAATGAATAAAAGAAAATATACCATAAATATTACAGAGGGTTTCATACTTTAGAAGTTGTTTAACGAACAGATTTTCAGTGTTTTTTTTTAATAATTAACAGTCCTAATTATGTAAGTAATCATAATACCTCATTTTAGAGCTATAGAGAAAGAAATACTAGTTAGAAATAAATAATGGTTGATAATGTGTCTAATAAACAATACAAGATAATTAGACTTAATACTGATGAGGATAGTATGACATGAGTACTGATGAAAAGTAAGTATAAGAAATAGTGATAATGATTTGACTAATATTTCTAAGAATTTACGGTTTTACAATCATGACTAATAACTTGTGAACAACCTCCTGACGACATTGACGAGATTCGAAAATTCTCGTGCGAAATGTTTAGTGACATTACAGAACTTACTTGTTGATCTTTATCCAGTTATAAAATATTGAGGAAATATGTTATAAAATAAAATAAGACATATCTCGGCTGATTTGCAGGCAAATAAACTAACATACTCAAGAGCGAGAGCCAAATGTGAACGGGGCAAGGCCCAGTCACAAAATGACTATTATCGTCGTTTGCGCATAAGCCTGACGCATGAGTTCCGGTCGAAAAATAAAAATATTTTAAAGTGTTTCTATTTTTCGACCAATAAAAATGCTTCCCTCTTAATTATACTCGCGTCGTTTTCATAAAAAAACGCCATAAAAGGGGTCACACGTGGAAGTACTGGCAGCCAACAGGAGGCCAGGGAAGAGATCTGTCACGGTCAGTCAGCAGGAGCGCCACGCCAACCAGTGAAAACTACTGAGAGATCAACCCAGATCGGAATCTGGCTTATAAACTATACCACAAGGTAGCTGTCCCAAACCCACACGTTCCTATTGAAATAAATCACTTAAATCTATTTCTGTTGCTGTCGTATTTCTGGCAACCATACGCTTGTCTATAACATATATATATTAGCCACATGGTCATGTTTTTATGTTGTGGGCTATTTATATTCTGTTCTAATGTTACCTCTTTGGCCGGCGTACCCTGACATTCCGCGTAGGTGAAACATTTCGCTTCGTTGTGGGCAACAACATAAAACATGACCATGTAACTAATATATATATATATATATATATATATATATAAAACCGGCCGAAACATTGTGATAGCAACAAAAATGAGAACAATGTTTGAGCACTTTGTTTACAAAAATCTGTTCACCTTTTAACGCGGCAAATTTCAGTAACTTATTGGACGACGTGTTTTGTTAGGCGTTGAAGATCTTACTATTAAGTGTAGTGTAATGTAGTGTATTTATTCATTCATAGGGAGGATACAATTCATTGTTTTGAAACCGTCAAGGTCTGACGAAGCGAAATCGAATTTATCGGTCTCGCGAAATAAAATATTACCATGGCTTTCTGAAGCCTCAGATTTGCTAAGAATAATATATATATATAATTATTTACCGTCCGTTAAATAAGATAAATTTTTCCTGGGGCGTGTAGCTAAGAATCGAATGAAAAGGAATTCTCACCAAAGTTGGTGACCTTGTCTGACACAAGGCCGCAGTAACTTAACACCTCTGTAAATAAATATGACTGGTGCCATGTGTGTGACAAAAGAAAAGACAGTTTCTTTGTAATAAACAAAAGTTCTCATTTGCATATTTTTACACTCTAAAAGGACTTTTGTGAGTAGAAAGGGGAACATCAAATCTCTTTTCCCGAGTACTATGAACGGCGGAAACTAAAAGATTTTTGGACTTGAGGGTTCGACAATAGTTCAGTTTTACGAACTGAGATTCGTATTTTGATAAGTTCAAAATTAGTGCTATTTCGTCTAATTTTGAGACAAACTTTCGCAAATAACTATGGAAAGATAATCGTATATTTTTAAATTTTAGAAATATTTGTTAGTTCCTTTTTGTCGTTGTTAGTGGCTTTTAGTTTTTCTTTGTTCTTTTCCCAGAAACGGCCCACGATCATTGGCCTCTGACAGTGAAATCGCTTTTAACTTTGCTCCACTCCCTAAAACGGCCAACGACTATCGCCTGTAAAAGCAAAAACCCTTCTATTCGTCTGACAAATCAGACTTCTTAAAAATGATAGAAAGTGCTAGCTTAAAATTTTAAAGCACTTATCTATAAGAAATCAAGTTTCGCAGATACAGCGCTAGTCGGAGTAAGATATTTACATAATTCATTAACCGAACGCTACATAGAAAGCAGTAATTATTGACGCCAAGCAAATTTAAAACGTGTTCCATACTAAAAACGTAATTTATAGCGCAATTAGATCTCATTTAAATATTCATGGAGATCTACCAGACATTCGTAACATACTTGTTGACAACACTGATATATTAGCATCATCTCCATGCAAAATAAATAAATGGCTAAAAATAATGGAAGCCTTATTAACAAAAAAAAAAAAAAAAAAAAAAAATATAAAATAAATAATAACATTAACTTTGAACATGGACACATTAACTTGACAGTGTTTTGAAAAATGAAAACATTTTATAAAACAAACTATATCTTATTTTAAGAGTTAAAATATAATCCTTGAAAATGGCTAAAAATGCATAGCCGAAAGCGCTCGGATAAAAAGAACATTTGTACAATTTTATATAATTTATCATAAAATTATTAAATCGCATGAGAAACTGTATAAAAAAAACTAAAAAGCACCTTGTCTGTCGTTTTAAATGAAATGTGCATGAAAGAAGGATCGTTGCATATATATATATATATATATATATATACACACACACACTTTTTTTTAATCAAACATGTTTGAAGTTTGGTGTCAGTAATTAGTGCTTTTTGTGTAGTATATATAAAATACCCGTTAATAACTTCAATACATTTATAAGAGGCATACGAACTCTATATCTGCAGAACTTGAAGTTCGAAAGGCAAGAAAGGTGTGCGTGCGCATGCGCGTGGCGGAATAGTTTGCAATTAGGCACAAACCAAGATTTTTAATAGATACCGAGGAAGGAAGGCCCACGAGCAGAACGCAATGTTCCAAGCCGATCTACTCAAACTAAGCTTCGTACTTACAATATAATTTGCCCTTTCTTTAGCCAAGAAAAAAAAAAAGTATTAATACGTGACGACACTAGCAGGAATTCGGAAAACAGATTTTTATATGAGTTTTATTGCAGTCAAGCTTTTAAGTACGAAATAAAGTTTAAGATAATTATTAATGTTCCCTGAATGGCTTGTGGTCAGATTTTAGCCACCCAGTTTAGAACGCAAGAAAGAAAGATTGGGTTATTTGGGAGATCGGCACTCGTTTTCGTGTTTTTTGGTAAAATTAAATTTTTTTGGAAGTTGACCGATTACCGGAAGTTATATATATATATATATATATATATATATATAATTCATTTCTCAATTTCAAAAACGAAATTTTAATTATATCTGGCAAAATTTAGCAAATTTCCAAAGTCATTTCCCACCCGTGCCAAAGGTGAGGGTTCAAGCCCAGGTAAAGGCTAATATTTTGAATGCCGATTTTAAAATCGTTTGGAAGATTTGTTATATTCGATAAAATGCAACACGGAGAAATTCTAGAAATATCAGATAATGTTCATATACACGGAATGTACGCACATTTCCTCACTAATTTAACCGGATTTATTGAGGGGGGGGAATAACAAGCGGTGTAATAACAAATGGCGGAATGCGAGACAAATTTGAAAACGCCTAAGAAATCTTTTTGAAACTGGTTAAGATATTGAAATATTTAAAAATAACATGAGAAACGAAAAATAAAATAATGATGGTCCTCAAGGACATGTAAGAGGATTTGGGGGGGGGGTAAAAAAATCCTACGAAAAATGTTTGAGGTAACATTAATCTATCGGCACACAGACGACACGAACAGAGTTTAAAAAGATACGATAAAAATTTATTAACAACAAAAAAAAACAAAAAAAAACACACACACATTTAGAGCTTTGTGTGCCTAATGTTGCCAATGAAATGGAAGTTAACAGCGAAAAATAAAATCAACATGCCGTTTTACAATTATATTACTGCACAAGAAGGTTCTCCGAAGAGAAGACTACATTAAGAAAAAGGACTACTTTTTTTGAATATTTTTCAAAGGAGAAATCTGGTACATTTTTTCTGGTGCTATTTAAATATGTGATCTACCTTAAAGGAATTTGTCTACATACGCGACTTAAGTAGCACACAGTAAATAAAGGCTTCCAGTAGATTTGTTTTCTTTTTCTTATGTTCATCCAATACAGAGCCCAAGAGCCACTCAAAGTAGAGGGTCGCTGTGTGGTGTATGAGTATAAGAAAGGGCAAGAAGTGAAATTCTTGGGGCTATGCAGGAAAAATAACAGCTAACGCTAAACTTGAAGAGGTCAAGATTTAATTTGTGGATAATATTTTAGAGTCAGAGTTCACTCGGAGAGGTCAGAAATATTGTAAAAATAGAATCCTAAACATGCAACTAGGGTTAAATGTCTATTATTGTTCAAAAACTGGGAAGGAGTGTGAACCGGACGATAGGCGAACCTCTCTAATTCAATTAGTGGGGGAGCAAATAACATTTCAGAGTTTAAAAATAGAATTTATATTTACTAAAATTCGTATCAACTTCTCCCAGAGCGAGGCACTTTTATTGCCCTCCGGTTGGGTTGACCTTTGCGATCGCCCCCAAAGGTGATGTGACACGAGCGTGCTATTTTTAAGTGTTGAGTCAGCGTTCGCTCTCATCCTGATAAGCAAGCCAAAAAACGGAGTTTTTTTTTTTTAAATTGTAAAAAACAATTTCCTTAACCTAACACGTGCCAAAAATTTAATAAACAAAGTGATTTAAAATTCACATTTTCTTGGGTGAATAAATATATGCGATAAGTAACTATATATTATTTGAGGTGAATTAACATAAAACATCCGACTTATGGAGAAACGTTTGGTTAATAAATGTATTGACATGTCGAAAAATATTTCAACAGACTGCACACTGAGTATAATACACCAAGCGATAATACCTATCGAAATATATATGTATGTGAAAAAGGTGAGTAGAATTTTTGTCAAGAACGGTTCTTGAGACATTTAGAGCGACAACAAATTTAACTGGACCTGATGAGCGGTGGGTGTTCTCTAAACTTTGAAGTTAGGTTAATTAAATTTATTATATTCCTCGCCGTTTGAAGCAAGCGAGTTTCATGATCGTGGCAAATGTCAAGCAAAAAAAAAAAAAAAAAAAAAACAAAACTTGATTTAGAAATCACACACACACATTATATATATATATATATATATATATATATCCTCACCGGTAGCATGACAGTTTCATGCACAATACAATCATCAAATGAGGAAAAATCTATATTAATATATAATTAATGTGTTAGATTGCATAGAGTATTTATGTTTAGTAACATCAGCACTTAATGTGCTATCTCGAATGTGATAAAGCAGAAATATTAAATATACCTCAGATAGGTTTTCTTTTGACGACTTTCCGAAATCCCACATTGAACCCAGACCTTGTGTCATATTGTTACGATGTGTGTATGCGGGTAAATCGCTACTGTACAGAAGTTAGTATATTTCTCTTATTAATTAATATTAACTTTGACTGCAGACACTAGACGGTCGGGGTCGAAACACCCAGTGAGAATGGATGGATCACTTATCAGTTTTCTACGACGAGTCGCCCGAAATAGATTTGGGAATTAGATATATAGCCGACAGGCATTTACTTATTAAGTTCACTTTGGCGCTTTGGTAGGAGTTACTAGTTAGCGAACCCATTTTCAATGTCATTACTACCGAGAGGCAAAAATTCGACCCTCACTGGGAAAGTCTGTGACCGTACGCTTGAAAAGCAAAACTGTAAAATACGGGTTTAATTAACATTGGACTGAGAGAGAGATATCTTAATGATTTCTTTAAGGAAGATTTCAGAAAAAAAAAATGATATTGTATTAAGAGATTTCTAATATTAAACTGTGTGCCATATTTACATTTTGTACTACAAGAAAGAAAAAAAATATTGCCGGAATCGTTTAGGGAGAGCTCAAAGATCGAACTCACCACGTTGTAGTATGGATATGCGAGACCATATTACTAACCATTTACGCCATAAAAGATTACTAAAAGACTAAATTTTGTGCCGTTCGTTAAAGTCGAGTTTGAAGACAGAATTGTTAGTTTTTTCATTTTTATTATTAAGAGAACAGAATTATAACTCATAAGTTTTTCCTGTGGTCACTTTAGTTAAATTTTACGTATCATTCAAGAAAAAAAAAAAATTTCAATTTCCTCTGATCAAGCACGGTTTTCCTCTATTAAAATAACAAGTTCCACCTTCAAAACTATCGTAACGAAAAGAGGTAATTTTTTACCGTAAGGTTCCCCTGTTCACAAGGCCCACGGGGCACTAGAGGTAGAGGGTTACGTTTAGGAAGCCATTTTTGTATATAGGAATGGAACATGACGATTAACCCGAGGCTTGAACAGAGATTGTAGTGATCGGGGAAACATCCTGTTGCGTGTCGGTTCCCCAGGCCAGTGGTTCGCGGGAAGAAGGGAAACTTCTCGAATACGGAGGAAACGTGGGTGGTTTGTTTCTATGTAAGTAGCATAGCATGCTCTTGCCATGAAGATTTGACTTGGCGGGACGGACCAGGGAATGTAATTCGTCCGAGAACTTTCCGTGAAATGAAAGGTAGAGAATTAAAGGACATAATGGTTATTGGATAACGAGAAAGTTTTATCAACTCTTCGAAAGGGGAAAATTACCAATATTTTTTTTATGCTTAAAAAAAAAAAAAAAAAAAAAAAAAATAAATATTAATAATCTTTGATTTTTAATGTTTGTACTAATTCTTGCCTACTGAAGACTCGTTTTTTGATTTTAATGAACATGCATTTGGTTGGGATTAGAAAAATGAAAGTTTTCGGCGCTTGAAATTTTCCGCTCTGTTGAAAGGGCGAGTAAAAGACTTCCTAGTTATAAAAACAAGAAAAACTGCTTTTTAACAGTTTTAAAGCATCAACCATTTGGTTAACGCTGCTAATTCCAAAAGCAACTGAGATTTATATGAACTGAAAAAGAGAAGGAACTTTTTTCGTCACTACCAAAATTATTTTCTTAAGAAAACGTCTCAAGCTAAACGGAAAGTGTGGGTTGTAGCAATAAACTCAGTATAGCAAATAAATCATAACGGGTTCAAGCGCGGTCGGCGTTAATATAGAACTTAAACAAGTTACAATTCATTCATATCAATGAAAAGAAATATTTTTTTCTTAAAATTTCGATGATGAAGGGTTACAAAATTAAAGTTGTACCAATTGTCATTTAATTTGGATTACTATGAGAACTGGACTTAAGATTAAATAAATTATCCACAATATAAAGATCATCCATTTTGGAAAGACAAACAGGAAAATTTTTTCGGCTATAGTTTTTTACGCCGTGTCAATAATTTTTAAATTATCGATATAAATGTATTTGGATAATTTCTCAAAATGCAGCAATTGTGAGGTAAGAGGTTTTAAACCCCAAGACTCTTGATTTACTTTCAAAATGTGAGGCGGGGTAACTTTTTTTTTTCCAGACTAAATCTCTTAATATAAAGTTGTGACCTAAGTAATACCTCCCTACAAAATTTACTTAAAAATTAAGATTAAAGCCATAGACTTCGCTTAAAATAAGAATATTTTTAGAATATTTTAACTTCCAGAATTCCTTTTAATCAATTAGACCCTAAAAAATTCTCATAAGACATGAGATTTTTCTTGCTTTGTAAAAACTATCACTGAAGCAAGAGGCTATGAAAAAATAAAAAAATGATTATTATTAATATTATTTAGCGAATAAAAACTTCTTTACCTGCCAGGTGCAGAATCCATGTCCAAAGGTATGTAATTGCCGTGCGCATCTTATTGCTTTAACTGATTAATGATTGTGACAAACAATCAAGCCGTAATCTTAAGCTGAAGTCGGAGTAAGAGAAGGATGAAAAGTTGTAGTAGTAGGAGGGGGATTGTTAGGAGAGATAGTTGAAGTAGTAATTGTCGTGGTAGTAGTCATTTAGGTGATAGTGGGAGTAATGATAAGAGGTGAATGAAATCAGCGCCAAGGATCAGAAGGTAAAAATAAATATTTAGTTAGTTAAAAAGAAAACAAATGAAAATTAAATCGAAGTAAAACAATATGACAAAAAATATTAAAGGAAATTAAATAAAAATGGGGAAACATAAATAAAAACCCTGTCGTATTTAACAGATTTTTTTCACCGAATTTATGGAACATCAAGTGGAAGTCACTATTCAGTCATAACTGATCTCGCGAGATAAACTTGTTAACCATTGCACCACGTCGAAGTACCCTTGTCATATATAATGTACCGAAAAGGGCATTTCGAGGCGGAGCTAGAACAATTACGACTGAGTAGTGAGTTCGATCCTCACTGGGTACAACCTACTTTCGGCCTTGTGCCACATCTAAGCTACGCCTGGAAAATCAGTATGATGTATTGAAAATATTTTCATTTTCGAACCTCACCAGAGCTTCTGTATGACCCATGAAACTTTTTATCTTGCTTACGGTCATATCACGTTCAAACATCGGTTCTCGTTCGATCACGAAGTTAAGCAACGTTGAGCCTGGGAACTACTGATTTGGGTGACCGCCGGGGAAATATAAGTACTGTAAGCTACGCGATAGGCCTAGATGTATACAATCTAACAGAAGACTTCAGTATTTGCTTCTGTAGTCTCAAGACTTACCTAGAATTCGGTGAATGGAATGGTTCGAACCATTCTGTAAGTTTTGAGATCTGGTGGTTTTGCGTTTTATCATAATCGCCAACTCATGATTGTCCACTTCTAACATTTATTTCCATGAATAAATCACCACTCTTAAAAGGCTTAAACCAGTTTTGGGTAGTTCGGTTACATTGTCATATACAGAGTCGGTGCAAGGGTCTCGTGATCCAATCTATGATACGGGACTCCCCATTCTACTACACCTCAATTGTCATAACGTATTATTCATATAAAATACAAATTTTATTGTAACCTAATTATGTACGATAATGGATCATATGCAATTAGGTGAACAATTCAACTAGAAAAATTGAAAATAAATATAATGCATCTAAATACAAATTAGAGATATGTCATAATAGATCATTCCATCTTAAATAAATCAACAATTTTTTTAACATCAATTTGTGATCTTTCTTGTTAAAAAGTTGAACAATTTTAAAACATTCAACATTATGAATAAAAATTAGTGAATTTTATACGTTTTTTTTTTCGAGATTTGGCATGAGCAAAACAAATTCGATACGTGGCATGAGCAAAACAAATTCGAGACTTGGCATGAGCAAAACAAATTCGATATATGGCATGAGCAAAACAAATTCGAGATTTGGCATGAGCAAAACAAATTCGATATTTGGCAAAAACAAATTCGATACATGGCATGAGCAAAACAAATTCGATACATTGAATTCGATTTGGCATGAGCAAAACAAATTCGATACATGGCATGAGCAAAACAAATTCGATACATGGCATGAGCAAAACAAATTCGAGATTTGGCATGAGCAAAACAAATTCGATACATGGCATGAGCAAAACAAATTCGATACATGGCATGAGCAAAACAAATTCGATACATGACATGAGCAAAACAAATTGAGATTTGGCATTCGAGCAAAACAAATTGATTCATGGCATGAGCAAAACAAATTCGATACATGGATTCATGGAATGCAAAACAAATTCGATACATTGGAAAATTCGAGTTTGGCATGGCAAAACAAATTCGATTCATGGCATGAGCAAAACAAATTCGATACTTGGCATGAGCAAAACAAATTCGAGATTTGGCATGAGCAAAACAAATTCGATACATGGCATGAGCAAAACAAATTCGATTCATGGAATGAGCAAAACAAATTCGATACATGACATGAGCAAAACAAATTCGAGATTTGGCATGAGCAAAACAAATTCGATTCATGGCATGAGCAAAACAAATTCGATACATGGCATGAGCAAAACAAATTCGATACTTGGAATGAGCAAAACAAATTCGATACATGACATGAGCAAAACAAATTCGATTCATGGCATGAGCAAAACAAATTCGAGATTTGGCATGAGCAAAACAAATTCGATACATGGCATGAAAAACAAATTCGATACATGGCATGAGCAAAACAAATTCGATTCATGGAATGAGCAAAACAAATTCGATACATGACATGAGCAAAACAAATTCGATACATGACATGAGCAAAACAAATTCGATATTTGGCATGAGCAAAACAAATTCGATACATGGAATGAGCAAAACAAATTCGATACATGGCATGAGCAAAACAAATTCGATTCATGGCATTCGATACATGGCATGAGCAAAACAAATTCGATACATGAAAACAAATTCGATACAAAAAAAACAAATTCGAGATTTGGCATGAGCAAAAACAAATTCGATACATGGCATGAGCAAAAACAAATTCGATACATGGCATGAGCAAAACAAATTCGATACTTGGAATGAGCAAAACAAATTCGATACATGACATGAGCAAAACAAATTCGAGATTTGGCATGAGCAAAACAAATTCGATACATGGCATGAGCAAAACAAATTCGATACTTGGCATGAGCAAAACAAATTCGATTCTTGGAATTTCGATACATGACATGAGCAAAACAAATTCGAGATTTGGCATGAGCAAAACAAATTCGATTCATGGCATGAGCAAAACAAATTCGATACATGGCATGAGCAAAACAAATTCGATACTTGGAATGAGCAAAACAAATTCGATACATGACATGAGCAAAACAAATTCGAGATTTGGCATGAGCAAAACAAATTCGATTCATGGCATGAGCAAAACAAATTCGATACATGGCATGAGCAAAACAAATTCGATTCATGGAATGAAAACAAATTCGATAGCAAAACAAATGGCATGAGCAAAACAAATTCGATACATGGCATGAGCAAAACAAATTCGAGATTTGGCATGAGCAAAACAAATTCGATACATGGCATGAGCAAAACAAATTCGATACATGGCATGAGCAAAACAAATTCGATTCATGGAATGAGCAAAACAAATTCGATACATGACATGAGCAAAACAAATTCGAGATTTGGCATGAGCAAAACAAATTCGATACATGGCATGAGCAAAACAAATTCGATACATGGCATGAGCAAAACAAATTCGAGATTTGGCATGAGCAAAACAAATTCGATACATGGCATGAGCAAAACAAATTCGATACATGAAACAAATTCGAGATTTGGCATGAGCAAAACAAATTCGATACATGGCATGAGCAAAACAAATTCGATACATGGCATGAGCAAAACAAATTCGATTCATGGAATGAGCAAAACAAATTCGATACATGGAATGAGCAAAACAAATTCGAGATTTGGCATGAGCAAAACAAATTCGATTCATGGCATGAGCAAAACAAATTCGATACATGGCATGAGCAAAAACAAATTCGATACATGGCATGAGCAAAACAAATTCGATACATGACATGAGCAAAACAAATTCGAGATTTGGCATGAAAAACAAATTCGATACATGGCATGAGCAAAACAAATTCGATACATGACATGAGCAAAACAAATTCGATACTTGGAATGAGCAAAACAAATTCGATACATGACATGAGCAAAACAAATTCGAGATTTGGCAAGCAAAACAAATTCGATACATGGCATGAGCAAAACAAATTCGATACATGGCATGAGAGCAAAACAAATTCGATTCATGGAATGAGCAAAACAAATTCGATACATGGCATGAGCAAAACAAATTGATACATGGCATGAGCAAAACAAATTCGATTCATGGCATGAGCAAAACAAATTCGATACATGGCATGAGCAAAAACAAATTCGATTCATGATACATGAGCAAAACAAATTCGAGATTTGGCATGAGCAAAACAAATTCGATACATGGCATGAGCAAAACAAATTCGATACATGGCATGAAAAACAAATTCGATTCATGGCATGAGCAAAACAAATTCGATTCATGGAATGAGCAAAACAAATTCGATACATGGCATTGGCAAATTCGAGAAAAAACAAATTCGATACATGGCATGAGCAAAACAAATTCGATTCATGGCATGAGCAAAAACAAATTCGAGATTTGGAATGAGCAAAACAAATTCGATACATGACATGAGCAAAACAAATTCGAGATTGGCATGAGCAAAACAAATTCGATATATGGCATGAGCAAAACAAATTCGATAATGAGCAATCGAGCAAAAAACAAATTCGATCATGGCATGATAAAAACAAATTCGATTCATGGCATGAATAAAATAAATTCGATATATGGCATGAATTGGAAAAGAATTCGAGAGCCCATATGAAAAATATTAAATTCGATATATATATATAAAAAACAAATTCGATATATATATAACAAATTATATTTAACAATATAAATTATATATATATATATAATAACAAATTATATATATATATATATATATAACAATATTAATATATATATATATATAATAACAAATTTATATATATATATATATATAATAAACAATATTAATATATATATATAAACAAAATATATATATATATATATATATAAGGACATATATAATAATTAATGTAAAATATTTAAAATATATAACAAATATATATATATAACATATTAATATATATATATATATATATATAAATATATAATATATAATAACATATATATATAATAACAATATTAATATATATATATAATAATAACAATATAATATATATATATAATAATATATATTAACATATATATATATAATAATAATATATATATATATATATATATAAATAATAATAATATATATAATAATAATATTAATATATATATAATAATATATAAATAACATATATATATATAATAATAATATTAATATATATATAATAACAATATTATATATATATATAATATAATATATATAATAACAATATTAATATATATACTAATAATATTAATATATATAATAACAATATTAATATATATAATAACAATATTAATACATATAATAATAATATTAATATATATAATAACAATATTAATATATATAATAACAATATTAATACATATAATAATAATATTAATATATATAATAACAATATTAATATATATAATAACAATATTAATACATATAATAATAATATTAATATATATAATAACAATATTAATATATAATAATAATAATATTAATATATATAATAACAATATTAATATATATAATAACAATATTAATACATATACTAATAATATTAATATATATAATAACAATATTAATATATATAATAACAATATTAATACATATAATAATAATATTAATATATATAATAACAATATTAATATACATAATAATATTAATGTAATAACAGAATCAACGAAAACATTTTTGGATATATACATGGAATTAGCCTTGGAGCAAAGATCTAAAATGGTGTGAGAAAAAAAAAACAAGAATACTTTTGATACACACACACACATACATACATACATACATATAGTGGCACACGGCTGAAATTAGGGAATACCAAGTGAAGATCAGGCACACAAAATTGTAAAAATTTGTAATTGATCTAGCGAGATAAGCTTGTTAACCATTACACTAGGTC